GAGCTCCACCTCCTCACAAAGACTCAGTCATTTGCCACATCCTGTCCACACAGCCACCATGAAGCTACTGCCTAATTACTAGGGATAACAACCCCATCCCCTTCCTGCTTGTCCACATTGTCGGGGCCTGGGCTCAAGGTGCTCCTCCTCCCTATCATTGAGTAAATGGATGACCAGCATTGCTATCTGAACGTAGTGGACGAATGGGCACCAAATAAAGTGATAAAAGCTGAGAGAATGGCCGTGCCTCAGTTAGCAGCTGTGATATTGATGGACAAGGCCACAATAATGATACCCAGGGCTCACCTGGATAAACTAGTGCTTCTGACAGGGCTGTTAAACCTATACACAGGGGACCTGGCTTCCTCTACGAGCCCAATACCACTAGGGGCTGCGGATAATGGCACAAACACTAAGTATGTTGGTAAAGGAGCAACTGTGAATTAATTTTTGAAGAGGAGGGAGGGTGAAAAAAATCATTACATATAAAATATATTTTACGGATAACTGACAAATAACAAACAAACCTAAAATGTCCATGCACTGCAAATATTTAAATCTTGATGCAGCTCATCTGGTTACATCATTCAGAGACCTATAGGGGCCACAGCATAGGGTCTGGTCATTGTCTGTCACCCTCAAGATGGCGGATTGTCTGTCTCAGCTCTATTTGCATTGGCTTTTGCATAGGTATGCTGCACCAATGCATCCTGACTCCACAAAAACAAAACAAAGCAGAGGAAGAGCCAGTCCTGACAGCAGTGCGATGCCTCTGGAGCACAGGCAGTGATAGGGCTGAATTAGTGGTGTGTCTGTTGTGAGTGCAGCAGTGGGAGGGTCTGCTGGTCCGGGGGGTGAAGGGGTTAGGGGGTGTGTGTCTGTGTTACCAGTCACCTGCTGCTAAATCCTATTAGCAAGGCCTAGGGGTTAAACCAACCATCACCATTAAAGGCCTGTCAGGGGAAAGCCAACAAATAATAGGGCTGATCGCTACAACTCACATATAATAAGGTGCTTTGATAGAAGATAATCAATTAGTGGTAATAGAACAGCACTTGACATTTAAGGCCGAACCTCAAAAGGGAAAGTGGAATGAGGTAAATAAGAAAATGACATTAAAACAGTTTTATGAAATAAAACATCGTTGAGCAACATTAATTCTTCCTATTTTGTGTGTTTTTTGTTGTTGTTTTAGTTGAGTAAACGAGTAAATATGTCCATATGTTGACCAAACTGTGGGAGACTAAATGGGGATAAACTGGCAAAGCAAGTGTTAAATTAAATGAAAAGTGACAGTTTACATCTCCAGCCACAATTAACACATTGATGGCGTTTTTCGCCAGGCCCCTCACAGTGATAATGCCTGTTGTCAAATCTGTTTAGCACGCCAAATCTCCTGGAGCCTTCAGCTAGGCAGCAAGCTTTTGACAGATTGAAGGTTCAGAGATAGGCTATCATGACAGATGGAAGCTGGCATCGATGTTCAGCTCTGGCCAATCACAAGGGACCTGCCTCCCTGATTCTGCGGGCCAACCTTCCCCTCTGATGGGAGCAGGGGATGGCATTGTTAAGCAGTGCATCTGTGAGACTCAGTCTCTCTGATGGAAGCATAAGGCAAAGAGCTCTCAAGCAAAAGACGGCCACTGCTGTAAGCGCATTTCAGATATGATGGGGCTAGCTCCAGGGAATAGACAGAAAAAGTTTGAAAGATTCTGAAGAGCAGTGGAAGACCCTGGAGAGTGGGAAGCGATTGCTGCAAGCTTCAGCTCTTCAGTAATGCCATAATTAAATTTGATGATTACTTTAAACGCTCACAAACACAGCAGTCACACTACACTGGAGTTTGACAGACACATTTACTTGATCACTCTAATTAGCAAATGACATTTTTCATCTGACCAACTGAATCTCACCTGTTAAATACTCAATAATGAGTAAACCTTATAGCCTTAGCTTTTGTATGAAGTGCACACATACCACAGAATGATTACCTGTAATGAGATCCATCAGAAACCATGGCACAGGAGAAACTCATTACACTGAGCTTGTTCTAATCAGACAGGCTTATAGGATTCTGCAGACATCAGAAATTGTTGTGGAAAAGAAAAATACACCTGGGCCTCTGTAACAGAAAAAGGGATTGGATAATGAAGTATCTGCCATGCACCGATTATATTACGAGCGTTAATGATCACAATAATAACAGTTCACACAGCACCCAGTTGATTTACAATATACTGTACCTACTGTGAAATGCCATTGTGACAAACACTGCAGCAAACGTGGCGGGGCAAAAAAACTCAAGGTAGATTAAAAAGCCATAAGTTGGACCCAGCAGACACTTTACTTTGCATCTTGCACAAGAGATGCTTGGTCGCACACTAAAATGTAGGTAACTTTGAGATATATGCAGCCCGTCGGCCTGCGCACTGGCAGGCAACGCTCTAAGTTGTTTGGTCTCTCCCTCCCTGTTTAGGCGAACACATTGTTGATTCAGACCCATCATGTTGAGGCTTGAGGTCACCCTGTCTCAGGCTTGGCTAGTTAGCAGCAGCCCACCTGATGGCCCAGAGGAAATCACAGCAGCAGCACTCACAGGAGAGGGCCTGACAGCCAGGCCCTGCACCAGAGAGGGGTCCATTTACAGGGGGGGCAGGGAGAGGGTCAGCATGGGGGAGGGAGAGGGGGAAGAGCCACAATGTTAGAAGCACTGCTGCGTTTAAGGAGAGTTCACATAGAAAAACTACAGAAAGTGATGTTGAGGAATTGAGTGTGGGGGACTTTGTGGGTGGTAAACCGGAGAACAGCGAACAATGAGGGGGAAAATGGTGCAGAAAGGTTCAGAGACTAAAACCTTTTGTGTTCCTGTTGAATTTCTGAGTGAAAGAAGAGATGGCCTGTATATAAAAACCAATACACAGGGCTAGTTTTAGCCACTACACGAATGAAACAAGGCATCAGTGTAAGTTATCCTGTGCACTGATGCCGCTCTAGCTGGGAAAATGTTGGCTGTAAAATGGCGTGATGAACAGCAGACATTTCCAGTTCACAAGTCTCCCAGTCTCTCCTGAGAGTCTGTTTCATCCCTATTATAGCCAATAATAGCCCATTGTAGTCAAATGCTCTTTCTCTTCACTCTGACTGAATGAGGACACATTATTTACCAAGAGGAGACAATGCTAATACATGGAAAAAGTGCTGACAGGAGGAGGCCAGGAATCAAAGGTTTATGCTCCAAAAGGACATTGCACTTTATATTTAGAATATCTTAATAAGATCCACAGTCTGACCATGAACTATTCAACTCCAGTCACTATTTCTGCAAAATTGAACGTGGCGACACTCTTTAACACATCATATATAGCTAAAAGTAAAAGTAAAAATATAGCATGTTTCAGTCGACCCCAACAACAAACTCACAGCACATTGTTTAGTACACACTACAAAATATTATAAAATGCTTTGGTGACTTTGGTTTGTGAAATGTGCTATATAAATAAAGATTACCCTCTGTAGCTTAAGTCTATAGCCCATCCGTCCGTGTGGAGCGCACTCCCCTCTCTCAATGTGGGTCAGAAGCAATGGTGGCAGCCCCCCAGGAGGAAAGCAATCCAGACATAGGAGATAACATGCAAACTCACAACACTGTAAATTAAACTGGATGTAAATGTTGACTACGGCCCTGATCACTGAACATGTTTCCAAGAGGACATTGGCGTATTTTATATTGTCAAAATTGTTCAAAAAAAGTTGGAGAATAAGAATTCTGCTGTGTTACCAAAGAAGAGTAGACAGCAATGCAATGTGACAGATCCAAATCAAGGGGGAATAAATCCTCAGTTAAATCTAAGGAATCAAACTAAGCAAACACAGGACACAGTACAAAAGTTTAGGAACGTTCATCTTGTAGTAGTAGTTTTTAGTAGTAAAGTTTTTATTTGAGCAGTTTTACAATGTATTTTATATTTTTTTTACATGCACATATATGATTCAAGAAAGAAAAATCTCAAAAGGAAAAGGCAGAAGCAAAAAGCTTACGAGTGTCTTCCCCATTATCAATATTTATTGAAACGGCTGCAAAAAGATTTACATTTTCACATGACACTCATGATTTTTACCATCATGTTTTTTATCTTGATGATTCAAAAAAAACAAAAAAAAAACAGCAATACTTATCAATTTATGTTCCATATTTCATCACAATAATAAATGTAATCTTCATTGTTTTTATAACGTGTGGTGCATTGAGAGCTGGAGTCAGTCCCCTCTGTGTCTGGAACCTATTCTGTGGAGTGCATTAAAAAGACAAGGCTTTATGGACCTATTGGAGGGAGGGGTCCTCTAACAAACAGATCCACACCATGTCTACCCTCATTCTCAGTTGTCAGTGCAATTGTCTTCTTAGTGTAAATTAAAAAAAACATATCGCAGTATTTACATTGCTAACTTACTGTTGTCTGGTATAGAAGAACAAAATACATTTACACAGAACAAAACATCAGTGATAATATTTTAAATTTGTAAAGTGACTGTCTGCCTGCTGCTCTGTTTCTTTGCACTGTGGATAATTTCTAGGGCTTGGCTATTTGCTCTTCCAGATACTGTAAATGTAGTAACGGGACTGTGTCGCAGTGTGGGTTACGGTTAAATGTGTACAGTTCATTTTGACTATTGAAATTTGTAAACAAAGAGAATTTGGGAGAGACCACCTTTCGAGGACAGCTAATGTTCTTGATAAAGCAATTTCATAATTAACAATAGATTGCAAGACTGCAGAGATTTCTATTTCTAAATTCCATTCCATTCTGAGCATTGCAGAATTACTCAGAGGTTTGTTACGTGGATAAAAAGGTCAATAAAGTCTTTAAAAATATGAGATGATTTTCACCAGATTTTGCTACTACTTTCCATCCGTAGACCCATGTCTTTGTTCATACTTAACAGTACAAGTAAACAACCCCAAACATGACATATCATAACTATGTGATGAATGTTTAAAATCAACGCAGCTTTAGAATAAACATGTAAAGTCCTTGAAAGAAGTTACTGCTGTCAAGAGCAGAATATTGAAATTGACTGACCACTGCTTCCTCTTGTTTAGTGCTCTTGTCCAAAGGCATCTGGAGACACACATTTCCAACTCAAAACCACACACCATTAATGCAGCCGCTGGAGCTCCAACCCAGAATCTTATTATCTTAGTTGGTTCAGCCTCATTAGCCGTTCTATGCATATTAATGGTTGGGAAATGGAAAACTATACCCTATTTAAGAGCAACACACGCTCCAATTGCAGGCATCTTTGAGCTCATAGCACATAACTCACTCAGCAAATTGCAATAATAGGGCTCCTGGCAGAACCCTGCTGTTTTCTTCACCCACATGCCCCTGTCCTCTTGCTGAGCCTGTGTTCCATTAACCTACAGTGTGTTCAGGCACCATTATGGCTCTAATTATGGCACACTCTGGGCTTCTTCTGTACTGCCCAGTCACCAGGGTTGTCCACAATGCCACTGAGAGTCCCAGAGGAAGAGCTTCACTAATGTTTGCATTGAAGCTGGATTTGTTGACTTAGGAGAGCTTACCTGTCCCGGTAACAACAGCATTAAGTGTAAGATCTTAAGTTTGTGAGAGAAAAAGAAGACCAAATTAGAGTCTTCTCATCTATCTCTTCAGATTGTATCATTCAAAGCAAGACTGGGATTAGAGGAGATAGAAAGTCTTTGTGTCCTTTGTAAAATAGACTAGCTTTAAAGCCACCCTGTGCAATTTTTACAGGTGCTCCAAATGATAAAACATGTTAACTAAAAACAAATGTTAGAATTTAACTTATAAATGTCCACAAGAGCTGGAGCACTCTCCGTGTCAATGCGCCATCTTGGAAAATGGTGGTGGATAAGGGCCATATAGCGTTGTTGTTTCACAAGACCTACTGATATCGTTGCTTTCACCGTGCCTTCACAAGTTTGAAGAAGGAACCATGGAGGACCACAGTTATATAAAAGAACCATGGAGGACTACAGTTATGTAAAAGAACGATCCGAACAACAATCTTTTAGAAAAATAATTATGCAGAAGTCCGGCTTTGTAGCAGCAAACTGTCAACATTGCAAACCACAAACAACAAAAGACAGCATTAACACAACAGGAGGCACATCGTGTAATTTGCGCACAACAGACTCACACGTGAACACTACGTAACATTTTTTTTCACACTGACAATAATTAGAATGAGGCAAAATCTGCAACACAGTCTCAGGATGTTTTCTTACCGTGATGCAGATAGGGCGCTGTGGCTAACGCTAATGCTGACATGAGCTTTTAGCCATGTCCTGCCGCGGCTGTGTATATCTGCTGCTTCTTTGATCATTGTAGTTTTAAGCTCCCGCAGACGTTATTGCTTAATGTTTCTCTTCTCTTCACACCGCGTTTTTAAAACTATATATTAATAATAGATCATTGGTAGAGCTCAGTAGAGCCTCTGTGCAGCGGGTGCCGTTTCAGAACACGGTTTTGTTTACATGTCGCCTCCACATGATTGTGTCAAGTGCCCGAGACATTTGGAGAGATCCCGACATTTATCAAACTAAAGTATTCTTTCCTTGGCAGTCTGGTGAATGACTGAGAGTTGTGAACCCCTCCGTAGTACCTTGGACTGCAATGCAAAATCTCAACCCTAGATGGCACTAAAAATTACACAGTGTACCTTTAATGATGAGCCGCAACAAAATGACAATAACATTTTTGGACAGAGAATTTGGAATATACGAGGCAATCAAACTCAACGTGTCAAACCAACTTGGGTGCTAAAATGCATCAGTTTTATATAGCTACAAGATTACATACTACAACTGTAGCCAAAGCTGCCCTGTGTCAGACTGATGTAAGCAAGGCTACTTATCTGGGCCACCAACCCCTCCGACCATCGTCAATAAATCATATAAAAGATAGGGATGTCACAGTAACCGATGTAAGCTGTAACCGCCTTTTCTTTTTTTTCTTTTTTTTTAAGACAGTGTTATGTTGTTTTAAGGCAGTAAAACCCCTCACCACACACTTGGAGTCACCAGGCCATGACTTCCCAAGACCATGGTGTGCATGAAATCTGGTGTCCGTGAGTAAGGGTGGCCCTCTATATAGTCAATAAAACTTATATGAAAACTTGTGATAAAACCGGTAAAACAAATAACGCGCTGTGAGATTTCATAACACTTTTAAGCAACTTTTGTTAAGGTTAAACTCATCATTCTATCAATGTGCGGAAGCCAGTACTTTTCCCTTGTTTTGTCTATCTGAAGGCCAAGCTACATGGCACCGTGGAAGCTGCTGATTGGAGGTCTCCATGCCTCCGCTCTGTATAATACACTTGCATTCTGTTGTATCTGTTGTTCGTGCTGTCTCTACCATCGACAATAAAACATGTATTCTGTTTGAATTAAAGACGCGATCCCAGACATGTCATCTTCTTCAGGTGGTGGAAGGATGCAGGCCTTGTCTGTAACATCTAGAGAACAGAAAACTTTTTTTTTTACACAAAAATGTGTTTTTTTTTTAAACCAAAACTGAGAAACCTCAAGACAAACCATGCATCTGGATCAGCACATGGACAATCTGCACAGCCCCTGATTCCACTCAGGCTGTGAGCTGCTGAGACATGGACAATACCATCGTCCTCTTTTGCATGGACATGATTTGGAACAATTGGATTACACAATTTGGACATGATTTGGAACAATTGGATTTCTGAATTTGGACATAATTTGGACTGAATTGAATTGCTGAATCTGGACACTAAAGCTGAAACGTGTGATTGAAAGACACGTCACAGAAGAATTCATGGCTCGACACAAATGCAGCCTGAAGAAATCAACACGGAGAAGTGGGAGAGACTGTTTTCAAAGCAATATCTGAGAACCATCGACTGATGAAGTTTGGTATTTTACTGAAGATTGTTGACAAGTTTTATGAAAGATCTGAACATGTTTTATGAGTTTTCTGAGTTTTTGAAGTATTCCGAGTTCTGAGTTTTTTGAAGTACCGAGTGAAGTACCGAGTTTAAGTATTGAGTTATGATGTTATGTTGCTGTTTATCGATCCTGATGGTCACACGTGAATGTGTGACCAGAGGGGGGAATGTGAGATTTCATAACACTTTTAAGCAACTTTTGTTAAGGTTAAACTCATCATTCTATCAGTGTGCGGAAGCCAGTACTTTTCCCTTGTTTTGTCTATCTGAAGGCCAAGCTACATGGTGTGAGATCACCGTGGAAGCTGCTGATTGGAGGTCTCCATGCCTCCGCTCTGTATAATACACTTGCATTCTGTTGTTCGTGTTGTTCGTGCTGTCTCTACCATTGACAATAAAACATGTCTTCTGTCGGAATTAAAGACGCGATCCCAGACTTTGTCATCTTCTTCAGCGCTAATACCAAAAACTGCAATAACTGTTGCCACAATAACTGTCATCTAAAATGTACATACTGGGACAATGCTAATACTAGACTCATACAAATGTGGTTTAAAGTGATTGTCTGCAGTTTGTCAGAAAGAGAGACAGAGAGGAACTTGATTTGAAAAAAACGACGCAAGCTCCCTCCCCCTTCCTTTCTGATTGATCTACACCTACGTTTCCGTAACACTTTGAAATGTTAATCAGAGAACACATTATACATATACATGATTAATACAAATGCACGGAGGTTTTCAGAATTATTTGTTATTGTTTTAATGAAAAAATAAAGTTTTTATGCACAAAAAAAGTGATCGCTGCAAACCCGGAAGAAGCTATTATCATGAATTGCACATTATAGGACACATCTGCAGAGGATCTGATTATGGATATAGGTTCAGTATATACTAGGGCTGTCAAAATTATCGCGTTAATTCACGTTAATTACCGTTTTTATTAACGCGTAAAAAAATAATTAACGCATTAACTATGGAGCTATTATTGTTTCAATAATATTTGTGTGTGCGTAAAAAGATTTGTGCGTGCGTAACCAGATTTGTGTGTGCGTAACCAGATTTGTGTGTGTGTAAAAGAAATATTTGTGCGTGTGTAAATAGATTTGTATGTACGTATCAAGATTTGTGTGTGCGTAAAAAGATTTGTGTGTGCGTAGAAAGATTTGTGTGTGCGTAAAGAAAAAAAAAAGTAAGTTTTACACACAAGTTTTTTTTTTACACACAAATCTTTTGACGCAGTCCTGCCGTCGCAGATTCACAAGTCTAACTTGGACTGTTTGCGTCTGTACCCAGATTTGTGTGTGTGTAATTTGACATTTATATCTGTAACAGAACAATCTGTGTGTAAATAACCACCTTGTACGAAGAGAAGAACAAAAAAAGCCTAAGAGCTACGCACAGGCTCTTGTTTTACACTCAAATCTCTTTTTGACACACTTCTACCGCCAAGCGTGTGTCAAAAAGATTCGTAGGTGTAATGTGGTTGTTCCAGCAGTACACCAGCAGATGGTGCTGTTGTAGCTGGTTATACACGCAGCAAACCAGCAGAGTTTGTAACACTATAGTGTAGATAGAGAAAACCGAAGGATTTAAGAAGAAAAGTTCAGGATGACAAGGAACACTAAAATTCCCACAAAATCCGACCTTTATGAAAGCTGTAGGTTCTCTGTCAGCTGTTTTAGTTTACTTTGAGTTCTATGGGCAAAATGTCTGTGTAGCCCACGTGAATTTAGTCTGCAGTACGCGAGAATCCTTCAGCTCCAAGCTAGTAACACCCTATCCAGTTATTATAATAGATCCATGTATAATACAGTGGTGTGAATGACAGGATTTTGAATATAGGAAAAAAATATCATAAACAGTTGCGGTAGTGTGTCTTGTCAAGGCAGTAGGTTTTGGTTTGCTTGCCTGTAGGTAATAACCAGCTACAACAGCACCATCTGCTGGTGTACTGCTAGAACAACCACATTACACCCACAAATCTTTTTGACACACGCTTGGCGGCAGAAGTGTGTCAAAAAGAGATTTGTGTGTAAAACAGAGCCTGTGCGTAGCTCTAGGCTTTTTCCGTTCTTCTCTTCGTACAAGGTGGTTATTTACACACAGATTGTTCTGTTACAGATACAAATGTCAAATTACACACACACAAATCTGGGTACAGACGCACACAGTCCAAGTTACACTTGCGAATCTGCGAAGGCAGGACTGAGTCAAAAGATTTGTGTGTAAAAAAAAAAACTTGTGTGTAAAACATACTTTTTTTTTTCTTTACACACACAAATCTTTCTACGCACACACAAATCTTTCTACGCACACACAAATCTTGATACGTATATACCATAGACTGTATATATTAATGGACAGAGTCACGCCTATCTCTGCCGTTCTAACTAATGGGCCAAAAAATATGCTCTACTGGAGCAATCCAAAATGGCCGCAAGTGGTCCCGCCCACAAAAAAATTGTGAAAAAACGCATCTGCGCATGCGTCAGCCGGCGAGAGCTCCATTCATTTGAACAAGAGACTTCAAAAATTCACAGCGAGTAAACTAGAGTGGACCAAAAAAATCCACCCCCCTCAGCATTGACACACATGTGGAACGGAGCTTTGGGCCAAGAGCCAACTTTTGGTCCATCCTGTAAAGACGTTTTTGAGAGGTCTGCCAATGCTATATGTTAGCATTGGCTAATTCTACTTCTGGGTCCACCCCCATCGGCCCGGGGTGGTATTGCAGCATGTCAGCGCACGTCATTTTGGCCACTTTTGAGCTGGGACCCTCCCCCACTGGTATATACAAATCTATTTACACACGCACAAATATTTCTTTTACACACACACAAATCTGGTTACGCACGCACAAATATTTTAACGTACACACAAATCTGGTTACGCACGCACAAATCTTTTTACGCACACACAAATCTGTTTACGCACACACAAATATTTATTGAAACAATAATAGCAGTGGTGGGACAGGCTGTTACCTGGCAGGAGTCCTTGCCTCCCTCGCTCAGTCCCGCACACAGCATATTGTCTGTGATACGGATGGTTGAGTTGTAGTTACAAAAGCACTGTCTGTTCCCGATGATGGGCACTTCCACCTCCATCAGGTTCTGTGGCGGCGGCAGAGGAACTGTGGAGCCAAACATCAAGCATCAATAAAATAAATCTATACAAAATGACTAAAAGACAGAGAGCTGCTGCCACCGCTCAGAAGGAGCTCAGTGAGGAACAGGGACATGGTTGCCAAGGTAAGTTGGAGTTTGGTCAGTCCTTATATACAGTAGCTCTTATCTAGATTTACAAAGGCAACATCATAATGTAAACACCATGGTTACAGAGACCACTAAACCACAGAAGCCCAAAATGGTGACTTGGTCGCTAGCTCCACAGAGCGGGTTAGCATTGTCCTTCTATGTATCTATGGTGTGTCTCTGGGAGAAACCCACCTGTTGCTTCTGGTCGAGCTGCAAGATGCAATCAGCATCTCCAAGGCTTTGAAGCTCAGACAGATTTGGATAATATTTACTTTTCACAAATTACCACGTCTCACCTCCAGAATTGATGTCCCCCCAGCCTGTGATCCAGGTGTCTGTGCCACTGTGGAGGGCACTGCCGGAGGCCGCCAGGCACACAGGCTTTATGTAGTCTGTGAAGGTGACGGAGGAGGACAGCTTGAGCAGTGACATGTCGTTATCTTGGGTGGCCTCGTTGTAGTCCGGGTGGTTGATGAACTGAGTGATGGTGCGACTCACTTCGTTGGGGTTGGGGCCCTCTTGGCTTTGACGCCCGATGAACACAGAGTATTTACTGGCATCACCACTGCAGACAGGAAACAGGAAGGGGTGAGATTTAGGACCTGTACAAATGCAGTTTTAGGTGTCTGTGTTCAAAGGCTCCTCACCTCATGCAGTGCGCCGCGCTCAGCACCCACATGTTGTTGATGAGGGAGCCTCCACAGGAGTGACCTCCTCCTCTGTGGATACTGACCTGCCAGGGCCAGGCTCCATCAGGTGCAGCCTGGCCTCCGACAATCCGGCTGTTTTTGGGTGCCATCCCACACACTAAGGGCACAAATCACACATACTGACAGGTATATACATATTGGGATGGTCTCTACAGCACCACAAGAGATTTGAAATGACACAAATAAGCTGTGCTTGAACTGCAGAGTGTCAGGTTCAGGTGGAGGATATTTAGATTTCAGTCAAGTGAATGCTGTAGGAATCTAACCAGTTTTTATCTTCACCGCCCACTTTTGGTGAGTCCAAAAGTATAGGAACAACTGGCTGCTCAGCGGTACCTTTTTGGCCAGTGTTTAGTAGCATCTTTTCTATAGCGAAAGTGTGGAGGTGAAAACTGCACTGTCGGGCAGTGGGCGGGACTTACCTGCAGCAATGTCGATGGTGTTGGGTGGTGTAGTAGTGGTGTTAGTTGATGGAAGAGAAGGGCAGGTGACGCTCTGATCGCTGTCGGTGCCAGAGGAGCTGAAGGCGATGAAGCCGGGCTGGTTGGCTGTGATGTGATTGTTTATCCAGGCCTCATAGCGGGACACTCGGGCATAGACCCCAGGTAAATCAGGCAGAGCGCAACCGATTCCGAAGCTCACCACTCCAGCCTGGATCCAGCGGCCATTTTGTTTTCTCACCAGAGGACCCCCAGAATCCCCCTGCACACATAAGCCGGGTCACACTTCACAAACAGCAGTCTGTAACATTATAACACACGGAACTGTTAGCGTAGCAACTCGCAACACTGTAAGAATCTTGGGGCCGTAATTGATCGAGAACTCTCCTTCAAGTCACATATGAACCAACTAAACCGCATGTTTCACCTGCGCAACATCCCTAAAATCAGGAACATTCTATAAGTGATGTAAAAAAACGAATCCACGCATTTGTCACCTGAAGCCCAGACTACTGTAGCGCCCTCTGCTGGTATCATGACCTAAATCCTCCATAAAAAGATTCCAGCTCATCCAAAATCCGTCTATTAACACACAAAGCCATAAATGGCATGACTCCTTCTTACCTCCAAGTTTGGTGTCATAACAACCAAACCGAGCTCTGCGCTTCACCAGAAGTCTGCTGGTTCCTAAGGAGCGTTTAGCTCCAAGCTCCTACACTGCGGAATCAGTCCGACAACAATCCTCGTTCTACAGCCTGAGTCCTGGATGGGCCTCTCAGAGGTTTCTCACTTTTTCCTACTAGTTTTAAGAGTTGTTCCTCTCTGATGCAGGAGTGTCTAAGGACCGGGGTGATGACCCAGGACAGTTATGGGACAGTTATGGGACAGTTATGGGACAGTTATGGGACAGTTATGGGACAGTTATGGATGTAGGTCGTCTGCCCTTTATGGACCATCGTAAGTGTATAAGTAGTAAGCTTCATCTTTATTCATATAGCACATTTTTACAGACCGAGATCACCCAAAGCGCTTTACAATGTTCAGAGTTCAGATATTGTTTCATTCTATCCACACAATGATGATGTAAGCGAGACGCCGAGCGCACTGGACCATCAAAGCCTACAACCAACACCATCCGTTCAGACCTAATGTGTATGTTTTAGTGGTAGGGCCGTAGGGGAAACCAGAGCACCCGGACACGGGGATAACATGCAAGCTCCAGGCCCTGTTTGGACCCTGTTCAGACCAGGATTTGAACCCAGGACCTTCCTGCTGAGAATTGAGAGTGCTAACCACTCAGCCACCGTACCATCATAACATTCCCTGTGTTTGAACTGTTTCTATTCTCTGATCTGTGTTAGTGAATCAACAGCTTTGTAAAGTTCTTTGAGATAACTACTGTTGTGATTTAGGGCGATACACAAATAAATGGAATTGAATTGAGTCAGAGGCAGGATATGGAGCTATTATTGTTTCAATAATATTTGTGTGCGTAACCAGATTTGTGTGTACGTAAAAAGATTTGTGCGTGCGTAACCAGATTTGCGTGTGTGTAAAAGAAATATTTGTGTGTGTGTGTAAATAGATTTGTATGTACGTATCAAGATTTGTGTGTGCGTAAAAAGATTTGTGTGTGCGTAGAAAGATTTGTGTGTGTGTAAAGAAAAAAAAAGTAAGTTTTACACACAAATCTTTTGACACAGTCCTGCCTTCGCAGATTCGCAAGTGTAGCTTGGACTGTGTGCATCTGTACCCAGATTTATGTGTGTGTAATTTGACATTTGTATCTGTAACAGAACAATCTGTGTGTAAATAACCACCTTGTACGAAGAGAAGAACGAAAAAAAGCCTAAGAGCTACGCACAGGCTCTGTTTTACACACAAATCTCTTTTTGACACACTTCTACCGCCAAGCGTGTGTCAAAAAGATTCGTAGGTGTAATGTGGTTGTTCCAGCAGTACACCAGCAGATGGTGCTGTTGTAGCTGGTTATACACGCAGCAAACCAGCAGAGTTTGTGGCACTAAAGTGTAGATAGAGAAAACCGAAGGATTTAAGAAGAAAAGTTCAGGTAACAAGGAACACTAAAATTCCCACAAAATCCGACCTTTATGAAAGCTGTAGGTTCTTGTCAGGTTCTCTGTCAGCTGTTTTAGTTTACTTTGAGTTCTATGGGGAAAATGTCTGTGTAGCCCACGTGAATTTAGTCTGCAGTACGCGAGAATCCTTCAGCTCCAAGCTAGTAACACCCTATCCAGTTATTATAATAGATCCATGTATAATACAGTGGTGTGAATGACAGGATTTTGAATATAGGAAAAAAATATCATAAACAGTTGCGGTAGTGTGTCTTGTCAAGGCAGTAGGTTTTGGTTTGCTTGCCTGTAGGTAATAACCAGCTACAACAGCACCATCTGCTGGTGTACTGCTAGAACAACCACATTACACTTACGAATCTTTTTGACACACGCTTGGCGGTAGAAGTGTGTCAAAAAGAGATTTGTGTGTAAAACAGAGCCTGTGCGTAGCTCTTAGGCTTTTTCCGTTCTTCTCTTCGTACAAGGTGGTTATTTACACACAGATTGTTCTGTTACAGATACAAATGTCAAATTACACACACACAAATCTGGGTACAGACGCACGCAGTCCAAGTTACACTTGCGAATCTGTGAAGGCAGGACTGCGTCAAAAGATTTGTGTGTAAAACATACTTTTTTTTTTCTTTACACACACACAAATCTTTCTACGCACACACAAATCTTTTTACGCACACACAAATCTTGATACGTACATACCATGGACTGTATATATTAATGGACAGAGTCACGCCTATCTCCGCCGTTCTAACTAATGGGCCAAAAAATGTGCTCTACTGGAGCAATCCAAAATGGCCGTGAGTGGTCCCGCCCACAAGAAAATTGTGAAAAAACGCATCTGCGCATGCGTCAGCCGGAGCAGCTCCATTCATTTGAACGAGAGACTTCAAAAATTCACAGCAAGTAAACTAGAGTGGACCAAAAAAATTCACCCCCCTCAGCATTGACACACATGTGGAACGGAGCTTTGGGCCAAGAGCCAACTTTTGGTCCATCCTGTAAAGACGTTTTTGAGAGGTCTGCTAACGCTATATGTTAGCATTGGCTAATTCTTCTTCTGGGTCCACCCCCATCGGCCCGGGGTGGTATTGCAGCATGTCAGCGCACGTCATTTTGGCCACTTTTGAGCTGGGACCCTCCCCCACTGGTATATACAAATCTATTTACACACGCACAAATATTTCTTTTACACACACGCAAATCTGGTTACGCACGCACAAATATTTTAACGTACACACAAATCTGGTTACGCACGCACAAATCTTTTTACGCACACACAAATCTGTTTACGCACACACAAATATTATTGAAACAATAATAGCTCCATACAGGACAGTGGTGGGACAGGCTGTTACCTGGCAGGAGTCCTTGCCTCCCTCGCTCAGTCCCGCACACAGCATATTGTCTGTGATACGGATGTCTCTTGAGTTGTAGTTACAAAAGCACTGTCTGTTCCCGATGATGGGCACTTCCACCTCCATCAGGTTCTGTGGCGGCGGCAGAGGAACTGTGGAGCCAAACATCAAGCATCAATAAAATAAATCTATACAAAATGACTAAAGACAGAGAGCTGCTGCCACCGCTCAGAAGGAGCTCAGTGAGGAACAGGGACATGGTTGCCAAGGTAAGTTGGAGTTTGGTCAGTCCTTATATACAGTAGCTCTTATCTAGATTTACAAAGGCAACATCATAATGTAAACACCAGGGTTACAGAGACCACTAAACCACAGAAGCCCAAAATGGTGACTTGGTCGCTAGCTCCACAGAGCGGGTTAGCATTGTCCTTCTATGTATCTATGGTGTGTCTCTGGGAGAAACCCACCTGTTGCTTCTGGTCGAGCTGCAAGATGCAATCAGCATCTCCAAGGCTTTGAAGCTCAGACAGATTTGGATAATATTTACTTTTCACAAATTACCACGTCTCACCTCCAGAATTGATGCTCCCCCAGCCTGTGATCCAGGTGTCTGTGCCACTGTGGAAGGCACTGCCGGAGGCCGCCAGGCACACAGGCTTTATGTAGTCTGTGAAGGTGACGGAGGAGGACAGCTTGAGCAGTGACATGTCGTTATCGACGGTGGCCTCGTTGTAGTCCGGGTGGTTGATGAACTGAGTGATGGTGCGACTCACTTCGTTGGGGTTGGGGCCCTTTTGGCTTTGACGCCCGATGAACACAGAGTATTCACTGGCATCACCACTGCAGACAGGAAACAGGAAGGGGTGAGATTTAGGACCTGTACAAATGCAGTTTTAGGTGTCTGTGTTCAAAGGCTCCTCACCTCATGCAGTGCGCCGCGCTCAGCACCCACATGTTGTTGATGAGGGAGCCTCCACAGTAGTGACCTCCTCCTCTGTGGATACTGACCTGCCAGGGCCAGGCTCCATCAGGTGCAGCCTGGCCTCCGACAATCCGGCTGTTTTTGGTCGCAATCCCACACACTAAGGGCACAGAAATGAGTAAAACAGAAAGACTGAATATACTACAGTGCCTGGTCCTTGAGGTCCTGGTCCCTGTGTGTGTGTGTGTGTGTGTGTGCGCGCGCATGTGTGTGTGTGTGTTTGCGTGTGTGCGCGCATGTGTGTGTGTGCGCGTGTGTGTGTGTTTGTGTGTGTATGTGTGTGTGTGTTTGTGTGTGTGTGCGCGCATGTGTGTGTGTGCGCGTGTGTGTGTGTGTGTGTGTGTGTGCGTGCGTGTGCGCGCATGTGTGTGTGTGTGTTTGCGCTGCTGCAGTTCCACTGTTACTACTTTGGAAACGAATGTATAAATGTAAAAGTGCTGATAAAGTAAAATACTCACCATCGGACTGCGCCGCGGCACCTGGAGGAAACACACAATCAGCATCAGTACATTTAAGGTAAAGGTGCACTTTGTTAATCCCCGTAGGAAAATTCATCCTTGCATTTGACCCATCCTGATGCTTACGTCAGGAGCAGTGGCCGCTGTAGTAACAGCGCCCGGGAATCATCTCCAGATGTTGAGGCTCAGCTTGGTGAGCTGGGGGATTTTACCTATTGTACATGTTTTTAGTGGTAGGGGAAACCGTAGCACCTGGAGGAAACCTGCACAGGGAGAACACTCCCAGGGCTATCCACTCAGCCACTGTGCAGCTGGTGCACGTCAGTGCATTTAGACATTAAAAATAACATTATCTCTTGCGTGTCTTTTTCTACATAGATAAATGTATCAGTATTCCAGAGAATCCTGACGCAGACAGCACTACTGCACGATCAGAAGGACCTCAGAGACAGAACCAGCCCGGTGCGATGAAGGAGCAGCCATCTTGACATGTTTGATAAGAAATGAAGACATTTATCTTTTAGTTTGATAGCAGCACATTCCTGACAAACTCAACACAAAGAACAGTTATAGTTCATTAACAAAGAAGAATGTGGAGAGAAACTTCCTCCACGAGCAACTGACTCACAAGATCTTTGTCAAAAATGCAGCCGCGGAAATTCAATTTGGAAGACGTCAGCCAAAGCCACCCCTTCCAGGCCGGCCTCGCATCCCCAGCCTATCGCACAGCAAACGCCCATTTCCAACCAACCTATGCCGGCCAGGCCAGCCGCTTAAAAGCGGAGAAACTCCCACTTTACGGCCTTCTCGAAGCCTTGCAAACCACCGCCTCCCCTCCTCCTCCTTTTCTCACCCTGCCTCAATCATGCCTCTTCCTGCTGCCCGAATGCCGCCACCAGTGCCTAGGTCCCGGGGGATTGTGCGCGCACTCTCGCAGGAGCCTCGCTGACTGAACGCCGCACCGGGGCCTAGGGCGCCAAACTACCTTTCAATAAAAAACTTCAAATGCATTTTGTCTCCTCAAAGTCTCTCCAGATTGAACTGTTTTTATCTCTCTTTGGTCTCTCACTCTGGTCTCACTCTAGTCTCCCTCTGGTCCCTCTCCGTTCTGATCTCTCTCTGTTCTGGTCTGAATGTGTGTGCGTGTGTGTGTGTGTGTGTATGCGTGTGTCGTGTGTGTGTGTGTGTAATAAATGAGATGTATAGTTGTGTAGTGATTGTGTGTTTGCTAAGTGATGTGTAGTGTGAGAGGTGATTGTGTCAGTAATCATCCTGTCATTGTTAGTTGTACAAGAACAATTTCCAGGAAACTATTGTGTGTACATGTGACATCACAAGCCCCAAAGAGCCTATAGCTTCACTTCATTGTAGAGCAGCTCGGACATCTGCCCTAGTAACCACGGTAACTAAATCAGATTTAAGTTCAAATCCTGAAAGAATCCACATGAAACAGTTCTACATCTTCTTTGTCAACACATGGTCTCTCTCTGGTCTCTCTCTCTGGTCCCTCTCTGGTCTCTCTCTCTAGTCTCTCTCCCTGGTCTCTCTCTCTGGTCTCTCTCTCTGGTCCCTCCCTGGTCTCTCTCTCTAGTCTCTCTCTCTGGTCTCTCTCTCTGGTCTCTCTCTCTCTCTCTGGTCTCTCTCTCTGGTCTCTCTCTCTGGTCTCTCTCTCTCTCTGGTCTCTCTCTCTAGTCTCTCTCTGGTCTCTCTCTCTGGTCTCTCTCTCTCTCTGGTCTCTCTCTCTGGTCCCTCCCTGGTCTCTCGCTCTGGTCTCTCTCTGGTCTCTCTCTCTGGTCCCTCCCTGGTCTCTCTCTCTCTCTGGTCTCTCTCTCTAGTCTCTCTCTCTGGTCTCTCTCTCTGGTCTCTCTCTCTCTCTCTGGTCTCTCTCTCTCTCTCTGGTCTCTCTCTCTGGTCCCTCTCTCTGGTCCCTCTCTGGTCTCTCTGTTTTTATTTATTTATTTATTTAGAGGATAAGCCCCTTGAGATGAATCATCTCGTTTACGAGGGGGTCCTCAAGATTTTCACAATGGGACAGCTACAGCAAAACAGATACAAATAAAACAAAAATACAAGAAAATAAATTAAAATAAAGATAAAGAGCAACCATAAAAAATACACACACATAAAAAAATACACACACACACCACACACTCACTCACACCATACACACACACCTCACACCAACTCATACACACAACACACACACGTGACTCTAATAATAATGCATTGGTTTTATATAGCGCTTTTTTGGACACTCAAAGACGCTTCACATGTGTCATTATTCTTTCACTCCATACACGGTGGTGATAAACTACTACTGTAGCCACAGCTGCCCTGGGGCACACTGACAGAAGCGAGGCAACCAGTATGCGCCATCGGCCCCTCCGACCACCACCAACCATTCACACACACACCAGACTCATTCTAGGCAATGGGGGTGTGAAGTGTCTTGCCTAAGGACACAACGGCAGTTTGGCACTTTACAGCCGCAGCCGCCCCACTGTGGCTGGTGTTCCCAGAGGTTAAGTGTCTTGCCAAGGACACAACGACAGTAGTCAGTGGGAGTCGATGGTGAAAGTTTTGACCTTCTGGCTCAAAGGCCAACGCTCTACCAACTGAGCTACTGCCGACTCTACTGTAGTTACACTAAATAAGGATAATATTATTAATAGTATATTAGTGACAATAATAATAAGGAGACAGTAACGACAAGTTTAGGTCTCATAACCGAAGATCAAAAACATTGACATGAATTCTGGGAACGTTGTTGCAGAGCAGATTTAAACAGAGGCAGAGAAGTTACAGAGCAAATAGACAACGGCAAACTGTTCCAGACGGAGCTTTAAATTCAAATGCATGTTTTCCAGCTTATTTTTTCACTCTTGGAACTAAAAAAAAAGACTGATTTGCACGACGCAAACTGTACGAGGATTGGAAAGGAATCAGATATTGTTTTAAATATTCTGGAAAACTGAGATTAATACATCTGTTCTCTCTGGTCCCTCTCTCTGTTCTCACTCTGGTCTCTCTCTCTGGTCTCTCTCTCTGGTCTCTCTCTCTGGTCTCTCTCTCTGGTCTCTCTCTCTGGTCTCTCTCTCTGGTCTCTCTCTCTGGTCTCTCTCTCTGGTCTCTCTCTCTGGTCTCTCTCTCTGGTCTCTCTCTCTGGTCTCTCTCTCTGGTCTCTCTCTCTGGTCTCTCTCTCTGGTCTCTCTCTCTGGTCTCTCTCTCAGTCCAATAGTGACTCACAGTCTCTCTGTCTGACAAACTACACGTGTTTCTTATGAGGCTAGAGTTACGCACCCCAGCTTTAATATGATGTTTGTGTTTTGACTTTAATAATGCATCAGTTTTATACAGCACTTTTTTGCACATCCAAAGACGCTTCACATGTCATTATTCTTTCTCTACAAACTCAGTGGTTATAAACTACTGTAGCCACAGCTGCCCTGGGGCACACTGACAGAAGCGAGGCAACCAGTCTGTGCCATCGGCCCCTCCCACCACCACCAACCATTCAGACACACACCAGACTCATTCTAGGCAATGGGGGTGAAGTGTCTTGCCCAAGGACATAACAACAGCAGACATCAGTGGGAGTCGGTGGAGAAAGTCTTGTGGTGGACTCGAACCCATGACCTTCAGGCTCAAAGGCCAATGCTCTACAACTGAGCCCAGTGCTTTAAGCTAAATATCCAATCAGAGTCACACAGAGCAGCACCTGAACAGACTAAACGCTCACTTTCTGAAGCCTGGATCAGTCCTGGGTCTACAGCCTCAGTCCTGGGTCTACAGCCTCAGCCCTGGGTCTACAGCCTCAGTCCTGGGTCTACAGCCTCAGCCCTGGGTCTACAGCCTCAGTCCTGGGTCTACAGCCTCAGTCCTGGGTCTACAGCCTCAGCCCTGGGTCTACAGCCTCAGCCCTGCGTCTACAGCCTCGGCCCTGGGTCTACAGCCTCGGTCCTGGGTCTACAGCCTCGGTCCTGGGTCTACAGCCTCGGTCCTGGGTCTACAGCCTCAGTCCTGGGTCTACAGCCTCGGTCCTGGGTCTACAGCCTCGGTCCTGGGTCTACAGCCTCGGTCCTGGACTAGGACCAGGAGCACACAGACCAGGACCAGGAGCGCACAGACCAGGACCAGGACCAGGAGCACACAGACCAGGACCAGGACCAGGAGCACACCGACCAGGACCAATAGCACGCAGACCAGGAGTAGGAACAAGTAGGAATTAATTTTATTTGCCATTTGCAGTAAAAAACCCACATTGGAATATATTAGCGAAAGTCTCCAGTGTGCACAGACAAATACAGACATAAAACATTAAAAGTACAGTAAAAAAACAAATAAAACAGACAAATGTCACTGTGAAATCGATCGACTAAAACAGTATCAATACAAAGAGCAAGATCATTAAAGTGCTCTGTTCACACTGATAACAGCTCGTGGGAAGAAGCTGTTAGCGTAACGAGATGTCCTGCATCTCAGAGAGGGAAGAAGCTGGAACATGGCTTTCCCAGGGTGGCCAGAAGAGTCATTGACAATCCAGGAGCAAGACCAGAACCAGAACCAGGACCTGCACCTGGACCAGGACCAGGAGCACACAGACCAGGAGAAGGACCAGGACCAGGAATAGGAGAACACAGACCAGGACCAGGAGAACACAGACTAGGACCAGGAGCACACAGACCAGGACCAGGAGCACACAGACCAGGACCAACACAGACCAGGACCAATAGCACACACACCAGGAGAAAGACCAGGACCTGCACCTGGACCAGGAGCACACAGACCAGGAGTAGGAACACACACACCAGGAGAAAGACCAGGACCAGGACCTGCACCTGGACCAGGAGCACACAGACCAGGTCCAGGAGCACACAGACCAGGACCAGGAGCACACAGACAGACTCACCGGGCAGCAGCAGACAGACCGCACAGACCAGGAACCTCATGTTTACTGCCCTGCTCCTGCTGTTCTCACCTATACCAAGGCACAGTGTGGCTCCTCCCTAAAAGGGGCGTGGATCAGCTGTCACTCCTCAAACCCCTGAGTGACAGCTTGGCGGGGCCCTGGATAAACTTGTTTCTAAAAAAAATCTCACTGTCAGAGACTTCACTCTGAGGAAGACGAAGGGACTTTACAGGCTTTACAAACATGAGGAAGCCAAAAACAATCTCTCTCTGGTCTCGCTCTGGTCTCTCTCTCTCATATCCCTCTGGTCTCTCTCTGATCTTTCTCTGGTCTCTCTCTCTGGTCTCTCTCTCTGGTCTCTCTCTCTGGTCTCTCTCTCTGGTCTCTCTCTCTGGTCTCTCTATCTGGTCTCTCTCTCTCTCTCTCTGGTCTCTCTCTCTCTGGTCTCTCTCTCTCTGGTCTCTCTGGTCTCTCTCTCTCTGGTCTCTCTCGTATCCCTCTGGTCTCTCTCTGGTCTCTCTCTCAGGTCTCTCTCTGGTCTCTCTCTGGTCTCTCTCTCTAGTCTCTCTCTCTCTGGTCTCTCTCTCTCGGGTCTCTCTCTCTCGGGTCTCTCTCTCTCGGGTCTCTCTCTCTCGGGTCTCTCTCTCTCTGGTCTCTCTCTCTCGGGTCTCTCTCTCTCTGGTCTCTCTCTCTCTGGTCTCTCTCTCTCTGGTCTCTCTCTCTCTGGTCTCTCTCTCTCTGGTCTCTCTCTCTCTGGTCTCTCTCTCTGGTCTCTCTCTCTGGACTCTCTCTCTGGTCTCTCTCTCTGGACTCTCTCTGTGGTCTCTCTCTCTCTCTGTGGTCTCTCTCTCTCTGGTCTCTCTCTCTCTGGTCTCTCTATCTGGTCTCTCTCTCTCTGGTCTCTCTGGTCTCTCTCTCTCTGGTCTCTCTCTCTCTGGTCTCTCTCTCTCTGGTCTCTCTCTCTCTGGTCTCTCTCGTATCCCTCTGGTCTCTCTCGTATCCCTCTGGTCTCTCTCTGGTCTCTCTCTCTCTGGTCTCTCTCTGGTCTCTCTCTGGTCTCTCTCTGGTCTCTCTCTCTCTGGTCTCTCTCTCTGGTCTCTCTCTGGTCTCTCTCTCTCTGGTCTCTCTCTCTCGGGTCTCTCTCTCTCGGGTCTCTCTCTCTCGGGTCTCTCTCTCTCGGGTCTCTCTCTCTCGGGTCTCTCTCTCTCTGGTCTCTCTCTCTGGTCTCTCTCTCTCTGGTCTCTCTCTCTCTGGTCTCTCTCTCTCTGGTCTCTCTCTCTCTGGTCTCTCTCTCTCTGGTCTCTCTCTCTCTGGTCTCTCTCTCTCTGGTCTCTCTCTCTCTGGTCTCTCTCTCTCTGGTCTCTCTCTCTCTGGTCTCTCTCTCTCTGGTCTCTCTCTCTCTGGTCTCTCTCTCTCTCTGGTCTCTCTCTCTGGTCTCTCTCTCTGGTCTCTCTCTCTGGTCTCTCTCTGGTCTCTCTCTCTCTCTGTTCTCTCTCTGGACTCTCTCTGTGGTCTCTCTCTCTCTCTGGTCTCTCTCTCTCTCTGGGTCTCTCTCTCTCTGGTCTCTCTATCTGGTCTCTCTCTCTGGTCTCTCTCTCTCTGGTCTCTCTCGGGTCTCTCTCTCTCTGGTCTCTCTCTCTCGGTCTCTCTCTCTCGGTCTCTCTCTCTCGGGTCTCTCTCTCTCGGGTCTCTCTCTCTCGGGTCTCTCTCTCTCTGGTCTCTCTCTCTCGGGTCTCTCTCTCTCGGGTCTCTCTCTCTCTGGTCTCTCTCTCTCGGGTCTCTCTCTCTCTGGTCTCTCTCTCTCTGGTCTCTCTCTCTCTGGTCTCTCTCTCTCTCTCTCTCTCTCTCTCTGGTCTCTCTCTCTCTCTCTCTGGTCTCTCTCTCTCTCTCTGGTCTCTCTCTCTCTGGTCTCTCTCTCTGGTCTCTCTCTCTCTCTCTGTGGTCTCTCTCTCTCTGTGGTCTCTCTCTCTGGTCACTCTCTCTCTGGTCTCTCTCTCTCTGGTCTCTCTCTCTCTGGTCTCCTCTCTCTCTGGTCTCTCTCTCTCTGGTCTCTCTCTGGTCTCTCTCTGGTCTCTCTCTGGTCTCTCTCTGGTCTCTCTCTGGTCTCTCTCTGGTCTCTCTCTGGTCTCTCTCTCTGGTCTCTCTCTCTGGTCTCTCTCTCTGGTCTCTCTCTCTGGTCTCTCTCTCTCTCTGTTCTCTCTCTGGTCTCTCTCTCTGGACTCTCTCTGGTCTCTCTCTCTGTGGTCTCTCTCTCTCTGGTCTCTCTCTCTCTGGTCTCGCTCTCTCTGGTCTCGCTCTCTCTGGTCTCTCTCTCAGGTCTCACGACACAGATTCCTCACACACAATACACAGAATAAATGTGATGCCGGTGTTGCAGTGCACTTACAGGGCAGTAGTCAGATACAGAGATTCTGTCTTCTAGAAGGTACAGTGATCACCAGTGTTTGTCTGTTTGTCTGTGAGAAAAATATTTAATGAAGAAACCAAAAATGGATTCAGTTCTGTCCGAATGTTTGAGCACAGGATTCTCCATCAGTCTTATCATGGAACCGCGCTGTAATCAGAGGAATATTTCTGACGGACGACATTAATGACCGGAACAAACCGGACACATGAGTAATTATCATCTCTGCTACACCAGACACCAGAGAGGACCCAGAAAGACCAGAGAGAGAGACCAGAGAGAGAGAGACCAGAGAGAGAGAGAGAGACCAAAGAGAGAGAAAGACCAGAGAGAGAGAGACCAGAGAGAGAGAGACCAGAGAGAGAGACCAGAGAGAGAGACCAAAGAGAGAAACACCAGAGAGGACCCAGAAGGACCAGAGAGAGAGACCAGAGAGAGAGAGACCAGAGAGAGAGAGAGAGACCAAAGAGAGAGAGAGACCAGAGAGAGAGAGACCAGAGAGAGAGAGACCAGAGAGAGAGACCAAAGAGAGAGAGACCGGAGAGAGAGAGACCAGAGAGAGAGAAAGAGAGACCAGAGAGAGAGATACCAGAGAGAGAGAAAGAGAGACCAGAGAGAGAGACCAGAGAGAGAAAGAGAGACCAGAGAAAGATAAATTACACTTTTGAGTCACAATTTCACAAAAGTGATCAAGTGTCATTGATAATAATTCACTCGCAGCTTTGTCACTTTACTGTTGATATTATCACTGCTTATTCTGCTCATATTCTCCGCTGCTTAAGAACAATACACACATCTGTAAATACTCCTGAACCAAGTGACATTATAGCTCCAGAGTTTATTTTGTTTTATTTTAATGATAATGTTGATTCTCTTCAATAACAGACTGTTTGATCTGCTCAGCTTGTTACTCCGCTGTAATATGCAACAATGACACTGACATCTCTCCTCTGTGAGACCAATAAAGGAATATCTCATCTTAGTTTCTTAGTCTGCAGTAAATCTGAGAGACTTTGCTTGAGAAGGATGGACACCTTATTTGTATGGCACTAAAGCAGATCTGGTCTTTAAAACAACTGCTTGGACAAGGGGAAAAATCAGGTCTTTCAAATGTTTCTTATGCCACATACTGTCTGCTCTGAGTCTGGTGTGAGTCTGACTTGGTTGGACTGAGGACCACACCGGCCCTCTCTGTAACCAGTTTCAATAAAATCCTGGTTTAATAAGAGTTTAATAACAAGTTAAACAGTTGGTCTCAGTGTAATTAACTATTCTCTAAACTGGAGATTACTAAGTGCTTTCCAAGACATGTGTCTGAAGGGAGCAGAGTTGGCAGAACACAGAGGAATCCGGTTGTATAAGAGCCAAACCCTGAGTCACACGTCGGGAACAAAAGCAGTTGTATAAATGCCCTGAAGAGAATAGAAGAAGATGAAGAGGTTTACAAATGTACAATGGAATAAAAATAAACTGAACCTTTGGCCACAGCCGCTGCCAGGTCTGCTCTGATCACTTTTATGGAGCTATAAAGTGACACATATCCATCATCTTTATGTCTTTAGAACGAGATCTCAGGGGAAGTTTTTAACCTTAAACTTGTTTGCACACTTCTGTCTTTCCGTGCCAAATGTGACGTGTAAATGGCTCTAGTGTGAGATCAGTAAAGTCTATCTTATCAGTATTTATCCAAAATGATTTTATACAAAGACACGTGCCTCAGTGGCTTCTGTAGCAGGAACACTTTATTCACAGGATATTACACACTTCCCGGGCGTTTGAGCGCTGCTGTGAACTCGCACCAGTTACAGTTGAAAGGAAAAGAAATGTTGATGGATCGATAAGAGAGAGGGACCAGAGCAAGACCAGAAAGACCAGGAAGAGACCAGAGAGAGACCAGAGAAAGAGGGACCAGAGAGAGACCAGAGAGACCAGAAAGAGGGATCAGAGAGAGAGACCAGAGAGAGAGACCAGAGAGACCAGGAAGAGACCAGAGAGAGACCAGAGAGACCAGAGAGAGGGATCAGAGAGAGAGACCAGAGAGAGAGACCAGAGAGAGGGATCAGAGAGACAAGAAAGACTAAAGAGAGGCCAGAAGGACTGGAGACAGACCAGAGAAGGAAACTAGTGGGACTAGAGAGAGACCAGGGAAGGACCTGAGAGACCAGAGAGAGGGACCAGATGAAGACCAGAAAGACCAGGGGAGAAAGAGAGACCAGAGAGACCAGAGAGAGGGATCAGAGAGAGATCAGCGAGAGACAAGAAAGACTAAAGAGAGACCAGAAGGACCGGAGACAGACCTGAGAAGGAAACTATAGTGAGACCAGAGAGAGACCAGGGAGGGACCATTGGGACCAGAGAGAGGCCGTGTGATCAGCGGCTCAGAAAACAGTTTGTTTAAGTCGCAAGGCGGGTTAAATGCACCTTGTTCTGACCTCAGTGTTGAATGAAATACCAAGGTTGTGATTGATTTGGATTCCTCATTCACGGAGTATCATGTGACATTAGTTTAAGATGTTCCATTGTGTTTAAATTCCACAAAGACCAGTCTTCTCTCTGATCGTGTATCGCGTGCTTTGTGTAATTACTAAGAGGAAGTATTGGGGGAATTGTTTTGTGATTGTGCGGCAGGAAGAAGT